TCTGCAATGATTAGACAGGAGCCTAGCATAACTGTTTTTTGGGAGACTTCATTTCACAGTTGATGGAAACAGATGCAGAGATCCACAGGCAAACATTAGGCCGAGCTTGGGGAGTCACATTGGAATGAGTGACCTGGAGGGTTCAAGGGAACCACAAGAAGACCTCCAGAGTAAATTAACCTGGGCCTATGGGGGCTCACAGAGACTGAACCACCCAAATGGAGAGCATGCATGGGCTGAATCTACCACCCTACACATATGTAGCAGATGTGCAGCTTGGTCTCAATGAGGGTCCCCTAACAATTCTAGTGGAGCTGTCTCTGACTCTGTTACCTGTCTTTGGATCCTTTTTTCCCTAGCTGGGATCCCTTGTCTATATTCTGTGGGAGAAGATACACTTAATCCTGCTGTGACTTGATGTGCAAGGGTGGGTTGGTACCCATGTGGGAGTCACCTATTCTCCTCAGAGAATGGGAGGGGAAACTCGAGGATTGGGGGTAAGGGTGTTATTGGGATGAGAGGAGAAAGTGAGCTGTTAGCAGGATGTTTAAACAAATAAATGAAAAAAGGAAAAAAAAGCAAATGATACAGATATGCAAAGGGAAGCAATAAAAAGGCCTACCATAGAAATAAAGTTAGTTTTACATGCATTTGAAAACTATTTTTCCCATTCTGTAGGCTGCTTTATTACCTAAAGGATGAAGTGCAAAATATATTTCAGTTTTATGACGTCCCATTTATTAGTTGATGGTCTTCAGGTTTGTGCCTATGCTATTTTGGTCCTATTCAGAAAATTCTTTCCTGCAAATTCAAAGGTGTCCACTACTTTTTTTCTGTTACTTTTAGGATATCATGAAAAACTTGCAGTTCTTCTGTGATACTTCTAATGTAATATTGTGCATTGTGAGTGATAGAGATCTAGCTTCTTTTTTATGTAGATGTATATAACTTAGCAAGCACCATTAATATGCTGTTTTTCCCTAATAAATCAGATTATTTTTCAAAGATCCTATGACTGTAGGAGTGTACTTTTGAGTGGTGGACCTCAATTCTATCCCAATGGTCAATAGCTCATCGTTAAGCAAGTACCATGCTATTTTTATTGCTGAATCTCTTTGACAAAACTTGAAACATGAAATGGAGATACATTCCATGACCAAGGAGGAATTCCAGTGTGAATGGACTGTCCCAGCTCCTGAGTTCACTGCTGCTTAACCAGAAGTGGCAGACTGGTCTGAGGTGCCCTCTGTACCCATCCAGCAGTTCCCTACTAAAGACTGGAGTGCCCAGCGAGCCACTGAGGACTTGTCAGCACCTCCCAAAGCACAGATCACTGAGTAGGTTGGAGCAACCACTGAGTGGTACTGAGCTCCTCTAAAGACACCTGAGCAAAAAGAAAAAGGGTAGAAGAAAAATAAAGTTCCTAAAATCTGAATAAACACACACACACACACACACACACACAAACACACATTTTACAAACACTAGTTTTGAGTGTTGGGTGTAATGGTACACTCCTGTAATCCTGGATTTAAGGAGGCTGAGGAAAAAGGATTGTGAGCATGGGTGATATAGTGAGATCATCTCAACAATAATGACAAGTCAACAGCAACCAGAGATTGTTTTGAGGTTGGGGCATGTAGCTCAGTGGTAAATCATGCGCTAAGCATGCATAAGATGGCTCTAGGTCCTGTTGTCAGCATCAAAATACCAACCACAAAAGCAGACCATCGGGGTTGGAGAAATGGCTCAAAGGTTAAAAGGACTGGCTGTTCTTTCAGAGGTCATGAGTTCAATTCTGGCAACCATTTGGTGGTTCACAACACCTATATTGGCATCTGATGTCTTCTTCTGGCATGTGGGTGTATATGCAGATAGAGCACTCATACACAAAACAAAACAAAAAATCCAGAGGCACTGTTATACAGGTCCTGATTTCAATTCCCAGCAACCACATGATGGCTTCCAACGATCTATAATGAAATCTAGTGCTCTCTTCTGCAGTGTATACAGAATAAAAAAATAAATAAATATTTAAAAAAACAGGGTATCATCTCAACTAATGACTGTGGTAGATGGGCTAGAAGAGCAGGAAGGGAAGAACGATAGTAGCACCCAGGGTAGAGCTTGCAGCAGATCTCCTCACCAACCATCTGCACCCGCCTCCCCACTCCTGTGTGCACACACTGCACCAACACAGCCAGCTTTATGTAAACACACCCTATTCATGTGCTTGGGATATGCCCTCAGAGGAGCTGCCTTTGTTTAATGCTCTGCTAAAGCTCTTGAAATCCTTAACTTTTGAACAAGGGGTCCTTCACTTTCATTTTACACTGGACTCTTCAAATTATGTAGCCAAGGCCTGTTTACCAAACAAGCAATCTAAGTAAGAACAGCCTGCAAAGCCTCACAGTACTGTAGCCACTGCAGTCATGGGTACTTTCAAAAAAATATCAAGACCCAATGGCCTATGACACAGTCTGTCAACCATCTCTGAATTTCTCTTTCCTGCACACCAAACATAGTTCAAACTGAAAGTGGTATGCTTGGTACACATTGTTTTGTTCTAAACAGGGCTTTTCTGTATAGCCTTGGCTGTCTTGGCTTTGTAGACAAGGCTGGCCTTGAACTCACAGCCACCTATATCTGCCTCTCTGAGTGCTAGGCTCACAGGTGTGTGCCACTGTGCCTGGCTTACAGACTTAAATTTAAGACAGAGTCAATAAGCTGCTTATTGTCTTTGGGGTTTCTATATAAAGGTTTGGAACATAGCTCAGTTGGTAAGGTGCTTACCTTGCATCCATGAAGCCTTGTGTTTGGTATACACATGTAATCCCAATAAGGAAGTGCAGTCAGGATGATCAGAAGTTCAACATCATCTTTGTGTGTTTCGCAGTTTGAGGCTGGCCTGAGATACATAAAAAAAGTTTTACATATATAAAGCCATCTTTTACATACATGGTACCAATGACCAGGGAAACAGGTAAGGAAGGTATTATAGTTTATAATACCTATAAACTATCAAGATGGGAGATAAAAATAATGTGAGGGTGAAGTGGACATGTGGGATGTACGAACAACATGACTGAATGACAAACGTGGGGCTGAGAGAAAGGCCAATATCAAGGGTAGTAGTCATTAAGATTCTTGCTTAGACAACTGAGTGGTTCCAGATGTGGTGATGAATGAAAGAAATTTCCACCACATCTCTCAGTCTCCTTTGTTATGGGTTGGGGGAAACAATCTGAAGGGGCCCTAGTTATGCCTGCAGGCCATATGGTCAAATCCAACTCTCAGACTGCCTGCCTGAACTGTAGTGGCTTAACCACTTACCCTACCACAGCCCACTGGAGGAGTACCAGTGTGAGAAATCCTCCACACTGGGAATCAAATAGGGATCAGCTCCATCTTGTCTTCTAAGGAAAGAAAGGCTGTCATCTCTCTTGTGTAGCTTCATCACTGTGCTGTATTTCCTTCCTCCTTTGTGGCTCCCAGCCTTCAGCAAAACAAATCTGGACTTGCATCATTCTCTCCCTTGTTAGTGAAATGTGATGGTAGTTATTTTAGGGTTTGGGATGGCCATCAGCCAACCTCAGCAATCAGGCTTCCCTGTCTGTGCTTATCAGTTTCAGCAGCCTGGCAGTTGTTGGGTGAGAAAGCAAGGCATAGCTTCAGTAGATGCTGATGTGTTCATGTGTAGATAGGAACACAGAGTACCTTTATGCCTTTACCTTATGTCATGGGAAAACTTCATTTACAAAACATCCATTTCAATGTCCACTAGTCGATCTGAGACCTTAATAGAATAAATATATTCAGGAAGGTAATGCTCAATTCTAGGTTTGAAAAACAACTTTGATAAAGAAAAGAAAGAAATTAACATAAACTTGCAGATTGGGAAAGTAGTTTAGTATTAGTAGGAAGAACAATGATTACCTTGGGTTAATGTCAATATTTGCAAACAAAATGTAAACAATATGCATTTAAAGGGTAAATGGGGGCTGGGGAGATGGCTCTGTGGTTAAGAGAACTTGATTCTCATCCAAAGAACTAAGTTCAGTTCCTAGCATCTATGCTGGGTAGCTCACAATTACCTCTAACTCCAGCTCTGGGGGCTCTGACACCCTCTTTTGGTCATCACAGATACACACATACATATGTACACACAGAGAGTTACACACTGAGAAAATAAACATAGATTTTTAAAAAAGGTAAAATGAGAACCCTACCATTACAAAGTCAACCCCAAATGGATCAAAGGCCCAAATATAAGAGCTATAATTATGTGTAGCTTACATAGAAGTAGATCTTCATGATGTTAAATTCAACAGTGAATACTTAGATATGAAATAAAAATCATAGAAAATCAATAAAAGTTTGGACTTCATCAAAGTAAAATACTATAGTGAACCAAAGGGTATTATCAAGAAGATCACATGACAGTCTACAGAAAGAACATCTGTCTCAAAAACGTAACAGCAGCAACAACAACAGCACACAAGAGTCTGCCTGGGATGCTTTGGGACATTGAAATTTTTTCTCTTAATTCTTGGCTACGTAGGAAGCTATTGAGGAGTGTAGTTCTTTGAATGAAAATGACCCCTACAGTATCATATGTTTGAAAATATGGTCCCCCTTTGGTGGAAAAATTAGGAAGTGTGATCTTGTTGAAGAGGTGTGTCACTATGGGTGGGCTTTGAAGTTTTAAAATCCCACATTATTTTTCAGTTAGCTCTTTGCCTCAAACTTGTGGATCAGGATGTAAGCTCTCAGATCCACTGTTCTGTCTGGTTCTCTGCCTGCCATTCCTGTCTGACACTATGGTCCCTGTCATGATGGTCATGAACTTACCTTCTGAAACTCTAGGTACCCAACCAAATGTTACTTCTGTAAGCATCCTTGGTCATGATATCTTAGCACAGTGATAGAAAAGTAACTAAGACAAAGCATTTCTCTCCTGTTTGAAAACAGGAGAGAAATGCTTTGAGGTACACTTATCTCAAAGATCCTTTTGTCCGGTGTAATTAATAGTAAATTTCAGGCCTCACAGCGCCCCGACCCAGAAGGCCTAGCCCTCTCCGGTGGGACGGGGGAGGGGCTTTCGCCAGGCGCAGCGCAGGCACAGTGCGCGCCTCAATTGTCAAGCGCGACGGAAGCACCGTAGCTATGGCTACAGACACTGAAGGGAAAACGCTGAGCTCATCCTGGGCCTGGTGGGCGGCGGCGGCAGTGAGGGTTGGCGACGGAAAATCGCTTCCTGGGCACGATGGCGGCAGTCATGGGTCTGCTAGTGGACTACTTCTTCTCGGTAGGCTGAGACCCGGAGAATCCGGGTAAGGGTGTGGGGAGGGCGCTGCCTGTGCTCCTTCCCCGCCCACCCAAGCTCCGCCTTCACCCCGAGCTCCGCCTCCGCCCCTTGGGCTCCGCCTCCCTCCTCCCGCGGGCTCCGCCTCCTCCCCCTATGCTCCGCCTCCCTCCTACCCCGGGCTCTGCCTCTGCCCACCCAGGCTCTGCCTCCAACCCCGAGCTCCGCCTTCTCTCACCCAGGCTCCGCCTCCGCCCATCCGGGCTCCGCCTCCTCCTCGGGCACCACCACCGCACCCGGGCTCCTCCCTCCGCCCCCACCAGGCTCGGCCTCCCCTCCTGGACTCCTCCTCTGGGCCCGAGCCCCGCCTCTGCCCCCTGGCTCCGCCTTCACCTCCCAGGGCTCTGCCTCCCTCCGCCCCTGGGCTCCACCTCCGTC